CCGGTTTCCACACTGGACGTCTACTTCCGGACGAAAAAAAATAAAGGCAAGAAAGGGGAAGCAACTCTGGTTACGCACGCATGTGTTACCATTTAAGGTCATAGGAGTGTATTGCTGAATGGAAATAAGAAGTACATGCCTAGTGAAAACCCAATATAGGAAGACAGTATCACAATTTCCGCATATTCTAATGTTTAATATTAAACAGATGAATATGGTATGTTTATTAATGACAGAACAGTATGTTCTTTCAATATAAAGTATTTCAAAGCAATCTAGGCATTAATTCAGTTGTTTTTTAATCAATGAGCCACATGTGTCCATTTTTCTGTACTTCAGGAAACCGGCAACCTATTTCACTACTGTGAAGTTTTTCAAGAACGATAACTCTTTTATGCAATTACTATGTGTATATGGTTTTATTATAAAAAATTTACAAAATTCACTCCTTTTTACATAAATTTCCATTTAAAATCCTTAAAATTCTGACAACCTATATTTTTTTTAAGGCAGAAAATTTTCTTTACTTCAAAGCAATACAACTACAAAATTAGAAGAAATTCTACTGAGAAATGGCGACACAATCCTATTACCTTAAGAACTTCGCTTGGGCGTCTTCGGCGCCCGAGAGCTACGCTCTTATAATAATATGTTTTACTTTCCCCTGTCACCCCTGCAGGTCGGGGATTGAGAAAAAAATATACCTGCTGTTACCCACTGCATGTTTCGTAAGGGGTGTTAAATCGATTTTCGGTAAAAGTGCACCCCCAATGATGATATATCATCGGGGTTTACATCTATTTAAACCCCCCAAACGTGTAAAATTACTCTAAACACCTTATTTTAGGTCCAAATACAACTGTAACAAATTCTCAGGCCCCTGTGCACATGATATACATGTATATTTCTTATAGCAACAATAACAGTTTAACGCACCAAATAACAACTGTTGTCGATATCTCCATTTCATCTTTATACTTAGAGCCGCCTCCCCTTGTACTACCCACGTCTGGCTGTACTTAGTTCAGCACGTAAAGGGATTTTGCAATTACTAGTTAAGCCGTTGTCAGTATCATGCTTTCGGGTGGAATATTGTGCTGAGTGGCTTAGACATGTTCTATTTCTGGAAGGTAGCACTCTAAAGACGGCATCAGATCCACGCTATACTTCCTGTAGCTTACACGCATACATATTACACACATGGATGCACGTCCTTTGAATGGTATTAGCTGTTAATACACGAAGGGCATTATACCTATAACATTTTCACTCATTCTGACATGTTGGGGAATTCAAATCAAGATCAGATGTCAGAACATTACAATCAAGTTAATACGAAAGACACTATTTGTCTGTGTGAGAATATGTAAAGATCATTTTTTAATTCTTGGGAGTGCTGATAAATGAATCCGAGCAGATTATTACAGTTCTCGGAAAATCGAAGCATCATTTGATAAACGGTAGAAAGGAGAGATGTTACAATAACAACCGCAGCTGTTAATAAGTTTATCTATAATGATGAAATTAACAAAAACAGATTGAACAACAATATTCTCAGTAAAAAAAATGCAAGTGGGCTAAGGATTCGAACCCCAGACCTCCGATCATCGTACCGTCTCGCTACCAAGTCTACGGTACATCTACATAGACCGGAAGTGGGCGTAATCAATGGGCCCGTATTTATGAAACCGTTCTCATCGCGGTGGCCAAGTGCTTAAGGCGTCTGACTCNAATGTAATACACTATAATTGTACGCATTATATACATATAGCATATGAAATACGCTATAATCGAACAGTACAATAATGTCCCCCCCCCAACCCAACCCAACCCAACCCAACCCAACCCAAAAAACGGCACGTCCTTAAATGACCATGACCATAGCTGTTAATAAGACGTTAAACACACACAAACCAAAGTTTAACATGATAAAAGTGAGTTACAAGAAAGCTGGTATGAGTACGGTTTCAAAAATACGGGCCCTGGAATATCGAAGATTTCTATGGTAATAGCCCGGCCAAATAGTGATGCAGCTCAGTTATATCTAAAACAAAATTAAGGGGAAGTTACTATATGTACCAACAACTACAGTGGAATTCTCTAGTATTTAGCCTGCAGTGGAAAACTTTACTCGTTGTAATTTGATGAAATAGTTTACTGCAGATCGAAAATACAAACATAGTTTGTGCAAACGCATCACTGTTATTATCAAAAGCGTGCTCTCACGAATAAAACATCTCCTTTATCAACGCAATGACCACCATGGGATATTTATTTCGAGTTCGGAATCGTAAAATTTTCATGGAAAGCAGCTTCAAACGGAAAATGAATTACGGCTCTTTACACCAGAGGTGGGTTAAAGGTTGTAACACTGAACAGTAGCTGACATGAGTGATAGGGAGTTAAGTTGTAAATAAATTAAACACGCCACAACTAGAATATCTCTGATTTTCTCTTGTCCTTTTTTCAAAGTCTGTGTCAACACTAGAGCTATATTTAAACATCATAATTGATACTGTTTTGTGTTAGATCAGGGAACTATGTGATTGAGTTTCAACCATGGGAAATGCATTTGAATGAATTGCTCGCAAGAATCAACAAGCTGAATGCGTTGTAAAATGTATGAGCACATGCATGGTCGTATGGAAACTCCATCAACAGCTTTTAGAGTTTCAATGACGGCCATTTCATTCTGAGTAGGGGCGGGGCGATGATATTCCAAAATTGAATTTTACACAATATAAAAATGAAGTGATATAAACTGTATCTACAATTTTGCTACTATCTTTGTGTATTTCAGTTCATCTTAACTATTTTTTCAATTGTGGGTGATGCCAGTTTTATGATATTCCACAAAGTCTAGAATATTGAATTCTTTAGGGAAAAGCAACTCTTATAATTTTGATCACTTGGATTCTGATTCTATGTTCTCAAACTAGGGGGAGATAAGCTAGCTAACAAAGTGCAGACGGTTGAGTTTTCATAAAAACTTAGGGGTTGGTAGCCAATCTAAGTTTTAATAGGCAGGACAATATTTGTGTTGCTCTAAAATGGAAATGAAAATATCACAAAAGCCAATAAGTTCTCAATTATTTTTTAATCGTACACATATTCCTTTTCTTCAACAAAAAGTGACGCAGATTTTATCGAGGACAGAACGTTTATTTTCATCGGTATGAGGACTTAATTATTTGTTTTCATAACAGATGAGGAAAGACTATTAATTTCCAAATTTTGACCCCCACTCTCACATACTGACTACTAGATTTAAAACCCCACCCAAAGAGATCATGACTGTACGTTATTCAACTTCAATATTTAAATAATCACCATTTTGTTACAGTGCACTAGAGCATACAACCTTTCCATTGAGAAGTGAAAGCATCGATCATTAACCAGCCCACATTTCAGGACGGTATACTTAAATGCGATGTGACTTTAAGCCTGATGTCTACGACTTTAAATCCCTTTCAGATTTCGATCGTTATTTTAGGGAGAACTTTGCCGCTATTATCGATTTTCTTTCAACAACAAGCATGCATCATTACCTCTGTTTTTATCTCATTTGTGATTTGTCTGACAAGTTGATTGTGACGTAGAAAATAGGATATACGTACGATAATGATAAGGACGACACGTAGTTCGAGAGTGGATCTCTATTGAGCACAGAGCCTGGATAATCATAGCGTTGTTAGCTTAACGAGAGAGAGAGAGAGAGAGAGAGAGAGAGAGAGAGAGAGAGAGAGGTTGTTCTTTCTCCATGCAAACGGAACTAGAGATATTCAACTNGGGGGGGGGTTACTAGAATCTGTTAGAATCACGAATCTCGTGATTCTATTTTAGGTAAATTCAACATCTACGTTTAAGGATGTATATATCTATAATATCTTCGGATATCAACAAAATATATTTAATTCTGTATTCTTATACATGTGTCATATTTATTTAATACTGTTATGAACACTTCTGGTAGATGTTCTGAAGCTATATGTGTCGGAGTGAACAAGCGGGAAGTGAAAGTACAGTGTGACGCTAACACCTGGTAATCCCAACAGTAGTTTACCCACACCTGTATGACCCGTATTTACAGACATAGGTGTGTGTCACCCCGGTATTTGACTGCTACGTCTCTTACTACCAGATACGACAAAGCTTAGTGCATAAAGGTCAATATTAGACATCATGTCGTATTACTGTATATGTACAAATAATGTAAGGTACAGTTTTCATGTATTTACATAAAGTTTGATAAGAATTATCATCAAATTTACATTGAATCTCTAACTAAATTCAACGTTTCTGTTGTTCTTTGTTTTTTTTTGATTATTTATGTATTTATTTATTTAAATTATATCGATTAGATGTAATATGTTTATTACTGTGAATACTAATTATATCAGTTATAAACGGGTGCTTAGTATATAGTATTGTATATGAGAACCATGCTATCGTTATTATTTGCTTTATTTACCTTTGTTAAAGGTCAGCATGAATTATCTGTTTTCATACTTGCTTGCATATTGGATAATACTATTTCATAGTTTGTATTCGAAATCTACACTGGGGCTGAAATTGAAATATTGCATTTTCAATGTATTCGAATTGCGATACCGCTGTCACGATATAAATTCAATCCTCTCGCTACATTCGTTGTTGTAGATATCGCCACACCTGTATACGATGACCTTTATATAATATAGGGTGCTCTACAGATGAAGTCTATTTATATTTTAATATCAAAGTCGGTGGACAAGCTTACGACAACATCCGCGTTCCAACTCTACCCATTTCTTCTCAGAATACTGACGTATCTTACTGACCCCGGGTGGTTTTAATGATCTGACTCAATATTCTCATCACGAAAGATCTTACATACGCTCCTTGATTGATTCGCAGAATCCTTAATCGGCCACTTGATAAGTTATAATTTATTCCTAGACAAATCCGGATTTGATGGTTCGTATCCGGATTGCTATTAGTATATAACCACTACTCTATTCTTCACTTTCATTCGTTTCATCGGGAAACAAGATTTCACAGCTTTCCTGCAAAATTCAGAGTTTAATTTTAGTTTTACTTCTGACAGAACATTCATCAAAAAGGCAACATGGTATTCAACCTATCTTGTATTTCGTTCGTTATGTTACTGGTAACGCTGTCATTAATAGATGTCCAGGGTCAAGGTCCATCGATCTGTACTGATTCGAGAATCATTCATAAATTCGTCACGCTTGATTACGATTGGCCAAACGACACAGCCAAAGAATCTGCGAACGCTAACGGGGTTTACATAGTGAACAATAACATTATCAGCGGCATGAAAGTATATGAAGACATTGTTTACGTCACGGTTCCGAGATGGCGGCTTGGCGTTCCGTCAACTTTGAACAAAGTCATTATGAGTAACGGCGAGTCCGTTTTACAGCCGTTTCCAAGCTGGGAGATGCAGACAATTGGAGACTGTCACGCTCTTCAGTATGTCCAGAGTATGGAAATTGACCCAAACACCGGCTGGATGTGGATCATTGACACCGGAAGAATTAATATCTTCGCCGCTGACGGAACAGCCGCACAAAACCTTTGTCCTGCTAAAATAATAGTGTACGACATTAAAAACTCGGTTGAAGTAACGCGTTATGAATTCCCTAACGATGTTGCTGACCGGCAAACAACTTTCTTGAATGACATAGTTATCCACTATGTCAACGAAGAATCCCGATACGCATACATTTCTGATGCCCTAGCCTTCCGAATGGTAGTTTACGACCGGATACAGAACACGTCTCACTATTTCTCGCACCCAGCATCTATGGTTCCAGAGCCCGGAAACGGAAATATCACCATATTGGGAGAAACCTTAGCTGTGTCTGCTGGTATCAATGGGATGGCGCTATCACATGATATGCAGTACATATATTACGGCCCTGTTTCCGGTTTTAGTATGTATCAAGTGGCTACGAGCGTCGCGTCACAACCTGGAGGAGACTTCGCCGGATCTGTCCGAAAAGTTGGAAACAAACCATCGCAAGCAGCAGGTATGGCTTACAGTAAAAATGAATACCTGTATTTCCCTGCTCTCGGTGAAAACGCCATTTACAGGTGGGACATAAAGTTAGACATGATGCTACAGAATACTGACATCACAAATGTCGAGATGAAAGCGTTGACCAGGGTTCTCCAGGATGACCAGTGCATGGTGTTTGTGGACATTTTGAACTTTAACAATGACCAGTCATTGTGGTTTTCTGTTAACAAGCTCAATAAGTTTCTCCTGACTTCCATGGATTTCACCGGAAACAGTGGCGCTAATGTGCTGATCTGGAAGGTCCCAATCGGAGACTCCGGCTACCTTGACCGTAGAACAACGCCAGTCGACCCTCCTGTCACAGGTGACGGCTGCAATGGCGCTGGTATCATTTCCGGTCCAGGTTTTTTTGTGTACTCGATACTTACATTCCTCATGTCAATGTTTTTCACACGGCTATTTTAATTTTGCATTTTGTGTGTCATTGTCTGTTTAGGGTGTGGTGTTAAATGTTCCCTACTAAAGAAATTGTATGGTGTAAGGAAGGCGTGTCATAAGATAAAAAGCGTGTAAAGCAGGCTGTAATCAGAAAAAATAAGAGTGGTTGTGTTTAAGTTTTGAAATGTAAAAATTTGATTTGAAAACATTTAATATTCATTTTATGAAATCCTTTACCTTTCCATCATTGAATTGTTATCGTTGTTTAAATATTTGTAAATATGTTAAGTTTGTGTAGTTATGTTGACGAAATGATAGCATTCTAAATTAATTTGTCCCTTTTGCTGTCATTTTCAGTTCGTTGATTTCCATGCTTATAAAATAGAATATTACTCAATCGTAAGTTATAAGATATCTTGTATAGTCATTGTTCAGTGCAAAATTCAATTATAAACATTTTCATGTTAAATGTTTTCATGTTTTTGTTCGATAATCATTCGCAAGGATGCGTTCATAAGAGTTATATTTACATACTCTGGTGTTTTTTTTACTTTTATAAATATGTGATATTCTTTGTACACATTTGAAATAAAATTTACATATAATAAATCTATTGCGATAAATTTGATTAAAGTTGTGAAAATTTGAAAACTATTTGTTTGTTATTTTCTTATCAGTTTTAATTCGTTTAAATTTGCTGATTTGTAGGTCTTGATCGAAGGACGTTTGCCTAATGGGAATGTCATGTTAGATGAACATCGCTGCAATTGGTTTCAAAGCTAGATTTCTAAAAATAAACATGCCATTACTTTACGTATATATTCATTATTTGCTTGCTGAATCATGATCAGCTTCCGGTACACCTGCTTAAGTCGACATGTTTACCTTTTACAATATATAAACAAACAAACAAATTGACTTACGGACGGTTTGATATAGACAATAAGTCTAGCAATAAAGTATCATCTGAAGAGATATCGACTAACCGGATCATGTTTGACCCTCTATGAGCCATTCCAATCAGCCAGCAGATTCGCGCAGTACTGTTTATAAGCCTATTTTTAATTGGTTCTGCAAATGAGTTACGGCGTCAGCATCAAAGTTTCTATTATACTACATGTATATGAATGATACGTAAGACAATCCTACTGAGTACTAGCACATAAAGAACACTCTCTTGCTTCCATTCACATGAAATGTCTTATTGTCAGAACCTTTTTGTAAAAGTTTTGAATCTGGTTATTGCACTTGAATGATCGTATAGCGCAAAGCTATGGTCCGATGACGAAGGTACGATTATGACGTTACAGTTGTGTAACCGCACTAAGCTCCACAAATAACGTACATGCACAGTGCGTACATACGAACATCGTCCGCAAATAGTGCGCACAATCGTGTGATTCAACAATCGTTCGTTCCGTTATGCGTTTCTGCCCGCATTGATGTGAATTCGGTGTACAATGGTGTAGTATTAATTTCATTGTATATAATCACCATCGCACCATCGTATTCCTGGCAGCGGTATAATGGCACTAAACGAATTCCATATATCTATTACTATAAAAAAGGCACAGCCCCTTACCAATGAAAAAAAGCCATACGGTTACCATACACAGGTTTAACTATGTGACATCTACGAGAAAGAGGGTCTTTTCTTCCCAAATGATACCAATAACATTTTAAATAAATACTTAAATTTAGATAAAACCCAATAAATACTTTATTAAGCAAAGCGTTATAAATACCAACTGTGTAAAACATCGATATGCGTCATCTGTTGATGAGAAGATTAAACAATACTGAAAATATCACAATAAAACTAATCCGAGTATTAACATTTTCCGTAAGCGAAACAGCAGCGTTACATAAGTCTTTATCAGTACAACACGATTTCTCAATACAACCACGTGACGAAAACATGTCACGTGTGCAGTTAATGAAATCGTTTTTATTCAGGCAGTCCCATGCGCATCCACGAACCGTAGACTTGTACTTCCGGTTATCAGTTGTGCTATACATTTCGAAGAAGATTTTCTGTAAATGAAATAGAAGTGTGTTAATGTTTAATACTTGATAAACCTATGATATAAGTTAAGAATGTCAAAATGCACCAAAATCGATAGTTAAATGCAAGCTGATTGGCAGTTCGACCAAAATTGACCCACTTATTAGCTCCAAAACAATCTATCAAAAAGTTCAGCTTTACTCAGAATTGATTATTATTTAACAATACAAGATAATTGGAAAAATTGGAAATATGACTGGGTAAAAGACACTGGGTAAAAGAGCTGTACATAAAGCGGTGTACTTTTTGCTAATCAATTAATAAACCTTTTACTCCAAATAAATTCCGACGCATCCAGACTCCGATACTCGTTGTTTTTATAACATCAATGTTGATCATTTCACAGTCATTTCACAGTGTCATAATAGTTCGTGTTAAACATAGTTCTTTCACTACGGACCGTTATTTTAAGTTTATTTTAAGTGTCGTTATATTAAATTAAACACACCTGACAGTGTTGACCGACTTCACAACTCCTCTCTTCCGCCTTGTAGTTCCCACCTGGGTCCTTGTCACAATCATCGGCTATACAGTGCCAGCACTTCAGTGACCACACACAATCTACAACAAACAATGGTGAAGTATGCATAACATTTGTACGCATATACATGTTTTGATTTGCAAGCGTGGGCAACACGTGACTTTCGAATTCTAAAATCGACAAAATTTCATTGATCTCCTCCTCAATTTTCCTAGAAGTTTAATCAATCTTTAAATAAACACATCATAGAGAATCGAATTTGATCTGCCGTTTCCATCAAAAGTAGATGAAATCATTAATTTGAAATTTAACCCTCGCGAGTATGAACTGAATACGAAACCGCGAAATATTGACCCCACGAATTTAAAGCGCTCTACAGTACTTGTACGATGTAATTGTAATATATGACACTATAATAAACAAAATTGACTTGACTTGAAATGAAACATAATGGAAAAAACTAAATAGAACTTGAGAGATAATGAGTATTTTTACATTAAAGATTTGGTGAAGAAAGTTTGAAAGTGAAATAATTTTCACATATGGCATGATTGTAGAATATGCCAAAATTCACAAATGACCGAGACCGAATCAGTTTACTTTGTATGTCTATACAGATATATCACTACAATACTTATCATGAATATTACAAATAAAGAATCGTAGGTGTTGTGTAAGAGACAAGTTGATACTACATTGACACTATATTTTCTGACAACCATCGTACATGCGGGAATAAAATTGAACTATACCGACAAATGTTGACGAGAGTACCTCTTAACAGTCTGGGACATTGTTATCTGTGATGTTGTTCTATAAGTTAAAATTCTAAAAGTGCAGTTATGAATTATTGACAAATTCGCCTACGCCTTTGCATATAGCATGCGATGTTATGTATTTTCCTTTCAAACATAAAAAAACATCGTCTCCATCCCAGGTTCAATCTTAGCTATACATGTACCACTGTCACTTGGGTTTCTCGAACAGAAAATCATTTTTTATGTGTCAGTATAGTGTTGACAGATGAACAGGCCACTTACGGGCCACCTTTAAGTGTCATTCCGCTGAGTGTCATAACCTGGTGATATTTTATTCTTTATTAGCCAGAAGCCATAAAGCTTAACGGTACATACATATATACATATACTGTTCTCTAAAAACAAAATTAGATGTGACAGGAGAGTGACATCACATTATGCATGAAACAATGTTCAATACTTAATATACAACAAATTACAGTGATGAAACATCAAAATACATAAAATTAAATCTTAAATATAAATATTTTCCTGAATTATTTATAATAAGAAGTTGTTTTAATTTGAAAATGAACTGTGGTCTGTGAGGGTATTATTTGATTAATCTGTGCCTAAAATCGCTATAAAATTGACAAATCAAAAAAGTATGAACCTCGTCTGCTATATCTCCCAAACTACCTTGGGTACAAATCCTGTTTCTGCGTATGAAATTATTATGTCTTCCAATTTCTACATTTAACCTGGAAACGGTAGCATGATACTCCCTCCGGACACATTATACTGACAACGGGCTTACCCGTCCCTACCACCGTTCATTCAAAGCTAAATGTCGGGCAGAGGGCAGCAAGTATCGGTCAGGGGATAGAATATAAAACCTTCATCGATTGGGCGAACTCTCAACACCAAAGCAAAGTAAGTGGTGGTATAAGGAAAAAGTAGTTATTAGGATACAATATAAAGATCTCAAATGTTGTAATGTGTGAGTAGATATAATCTGTCGCTTTTTGTGCTTACTTTCCCAATGTAGATGTAACTAAAGTAAATCCCTAAATTTGCTTGAGGTTTCTTTAATAGTCGCTTTTGTGATATAATGTAGTGGGTTATAGTAAGTATATTCTTGTCTTAATCCCCAAACTACATTGTTAAACACAGATTATCACGCGCACTAACTTTATTTTTAATAATTAAATTTGTTGTTTGTTTTAATTACACAATAAATTGAAGGCAAATAAGATTATAGGCAAATTACGTCATTGAGAAATAAGTTTAACTTAAGAACAGTATATACAGAAGCCAACACTACTCTCCTCAGTTTCATCAGCTGGTTTGAATAATCACGAACTTTTTTTTTTTTTTTTTTTTTTTTAAATCTGTTGACAAAAATGAATGTTCATGTAGCAAAATATTAATTTCTCAGTTGTGCATTGTAACTACACCTGAAGAAGTGTTCATATTGTTTAACAAGACACTCTTTATATTTTCTACGGGTTTAGATTATTTCCACTCTTGCTAATTTAAGGTTATGGTCACATAAGCTGAATTAAGTATAAAGCATTCTCTTTTGTGTATTGAGTATCAGAAACTGTTTTTCTGGTGTGTGTTTGAAGATTTGTTTTTTGTGTAACATACCACATGTTGCATTCCCGGCATGTTCAAAACATGTACTAAATAAAACTTGATACACGAAAACGAAAAGTCAAAACAGGCTGTACCACATATAATAAGCTATAAATACATTTTATTAGGGGATATTTCAAGAAGATGTTCAATTTTTTATTTCGCTTGTTTCCCATGCATGCATATCTGCAGATGGTCCGTGTAATTGTATATGGTAAAATCGGCTTTGATGCCGTGTAATAACGCCAATAAAACGAAAATACAGCAGTTTATATCAGTTTAATGCCTGCCTGTGACATTTTTGAGAGGAAAGCCTCGCAATAAAATGAAGTATTGTTTACCGATTATTCAAAACAACAACGACGAAAACAACGTCTTGGATACCGGTCATTTTGCCTTCCCTAAATGTTTTGAATTATATCGGTTAACTATTTATTCACTTTATTCAATTTTACAGTGCCAAGATGGAGGGAAAGAGAAAAAAACCATATAAGGGTATTTGTTTGCTTTGTTTGGGGTTAAACGTCATCATTACAACTAGGGTCATACGAGGACGATAACAAAGAGAAGAAAAGGAATATATCCCTAGAGTTGTAATGATGGCGTCAGATTAACTTTGAGTGCCCTAATGTCTTTGTTAAATACGAGACCATGGGTCAATCAGACAATTCGATAGTGTGAATTTCCAAACCCTTGGAAACCTAAATTTCACTACAAGGTAACACTAGGAAATTATATCAATATTATATTTTTATGTTTATTCACTTTATCTATCACTATTGTTGTTATTTTTAAAGACATCATGTTTTAATACAGTTAAAGTAAAAGAAACCTTTTATCTACTATGGTATATAATGTTGTATGTTGAAGTACAAAATCCAGAGAGCGTGTTAGGTACGGGCTGTCCCAATCACCTGCACTCTGGATTGGAACTTGTGATAGTTTGTTCTAATTTATCGGAATATTCCGTATTATAACTGTTCTTAACAAAAGTATGATATTATGTCTATTTGTGTTTACATTAAGATGATTGATACCTGCTATTTAACTATATGTTTGTATACTGTGTAACTATATCTTGTACGATGTAATTGTGATATAAGACACCATAATAAACAAAAGTATGATATTATGTCTATTTATGTTTACATTAAGATGATTGATACCTGCTATTTAACTATATGTTTGTATACTGTGTAACTATATCTTGTACGATGTAATTGTGATATAAGACACCATAATAAACAAAATTGACTTGACTTGTCTGTATTTATGATAAGACTTCTCTCCTCAGCTTTATGTCTTACTATTTTAAATCATCTGATACTGATCTCAGAACATCAGTAAGGTTTACTTTCTTCCTCACTTGTAACAAACCCTCCTCCTCTGATTATGGAGTACCAGACCTGTTTAAACTATTAATATTGTTCTAGTAAGATGTGTCTTTTTTCTACAAATTTACTACAGCAATGCAGCAAGGTTATCTACCGGAAAGGATTTAATCTACACTAGTATATTGTTACGGCCAGCAGCATAATATGATTATGAAATTAGAGATGTCAGTGTATTTTGATAGTTATGTGGATGTTACAGGTTATTTTCGTATAGGCTGCCTAGTTTCTATTGTTTTCTTTATCTTTTTATACGAACTATCGATGTCTGGTTTTGTCCTCATGTGCTTTCACTCTGGTACATATTTTTTGTATTGAAACCAAATTATGCTTTTATTCTTATGCGGTTACGTTTTTATTATGTGTTGATGATTTATGTTATATAAGTATTAAACCTATCTAAACTGATCGTGTCCAAATATGATATTTAATTGATGAAATGTGGATGTGATCTAATCGATGTGTCAAATATATTATCTAATGTCTTGTAGTTGTAGCTAGATATCATTTTAATGGTGTGTTGTAGATATTATTTGATTGATGTTACACATTTTCATTGTTTTATTTATGTACCGTATATATTATTTGATATATGTACGGTCGAAAATATTATTTAATTGGTTCACCGTTCTTTATATTAAGGTGAAGTACTCTATATATTATGTAGGCAAACTAATGCATACATTTTTTACAGGATACCACAGATGTTACTGAGAATAAATCTATGTGGTATAACGTATTACGCATTGTATATCATGGATCGTATTTTATACTTGAGACGCTTGACTAACAGACAAATATAATCTGTTTAACCCTTTCACCACTGTAGACCATAATGGATTCATCCAGATCAATGCATGGTAGAGTCTAATAAAGTTGCATAGGGGTGAAAAGGTTAAGACCATCCTCCTTTTACAAGGCTCCTCATGAATACGATAGCCTCTACACACTCCAATTAAAGTTCCAATCTTTATGTCCTGCCCATCATGGTATACATAATACGTCTGTATTTACAACTGTCGTTTATCGTTTCTTTATGGACGGTATTATCTGAACAAAGGTAATAAGACAGACCTGCGAATGTGAAGTGGATCCTTCCCTCGAGGTGTAGGTTATTTAAAGTCTAGCAGGTTTACGCAAAAAGGCTTATATCTATGTAATTTGGAGAATGGGTTAAACTGACAATACTTTGAAAAAAGTTATCAACTGTGTGTTCAACGCTTAACAATCGTTACCAGGTTCTAACTTTGATCCTTTTTAGTATCTCATTTTTTTGTTATATGTTTTTGAACTTTTGATCTGACGTTGCATTAG